CAGTCATCTGATTGTTCCCAGTTGATATCGGGCCCTGTACCTTCAGAACGAGATCAACGCTATTTGATACTATGCCGTGCCGGCCTTCTGCTAAGGAAAACGTCGGAGGGAGTAGTTGTAAATAATGTTTTATGAATTTTATAACCTCTTTGTTTCAGGATATTAAGTCGACATACCTCTTTGTCACGTGAACCACTGACATTGAGGAGACGTCCGCCACCCCCACAGACCTGGTTTGAATGGGCTGTTTCGATCCTGAAACTTCCGTTCGTTATCGGTTATGAGACTCTCTACGAACTGCTCTCTTTTATACGTAAGTTATTTTTGAAATTCCTGGTTTTTATTATGCGTTTTTGCTGTGCAACGCTATAGCAGCGAACAAAATGCACTCGCTTTCCGAACACACACACACAGCCTCTCGGCAATATGTGTTTTTGCTGATGTAGGGGTCATTCCTGCTAATAGCGATCTGCGAGTTTAGTGCAAAAACGCATGATCGCACCGGGGAGCCTGGTACGTTTCGGCCTGGGTTTTTTTTTTTTCAAGAGCGGAAAAATTCTTTCCTGGGAGTTCTTACCCATTAATTTTTATTTGATGATTGCCTACTAATTATGGCAACACAGCAGTTCATCAACAAGCACTGGCACAAGTGTCTTTTCAAAGAAAATTTGTAGTGTAAAATCTAATAGAAAGGTATATTAACAGTGGATGAAATAGAAAGAATCAAAAAGGAAGGTAGGAGATGAGAATTACAAAATCTTGTAAATTAATAAAATTATTTTAATGGTAAGAAATGTTTTTATCCATTAAGTCGTATACATTTTTTGCCATTACCACAACTGGACAAAAATCATCATGAATTATTACTGTGTCACAACAGATTTTTCGGTGCCACTGACAGCAGTTCATTCATTCATTCTTCCATCCTTCCAGTCATTGTTTCGCTACTATTTGCGAAAAAAAGACAACATGTATCCACACAGTAGGAATTTGTTCTGTACTTACATAAATTGAAAAAACTATGGAAAAACTATGAAAACAAAAAAAAAAAAGAAAAACTATGATTTTGTGACATATTTTTAATAATATTTTAGCTTTCAGTTATAACTGATCTTGAAATAAACTGCTTGGCGGGCTAGGCCTTTTGTTTACCTGTTGAGGAGTTGATCGTATCAGCCTTCCGTAAGTAGTTATTTGATAGTTCCGGTCTCTTCAGTCTTTTCGCTCGCCTTTTTCGCATTGCTCTTTTATTAGTGTTATCGCCTGTTTAAATATTCTGAAGCCATCTGCGAAATGTTCTCGTATTATTCATTCCTTTTTTCTGATTAGTTTTTGCAGAAATGCGTGCATATGCGCTTTGTTTTTTCGCTTTTGAATGCAAATTAGCTTCAAATTATAGTTGTTGTGTAGCAGAAAACTGCGTGGCATACGAGCCAGTA